CCTTCTCCCCAGGTGTGGCAATCAAAAACAACTACAGATAATGTCAAATGTCCCCTGGGAAGCAAAATCACCCTTAGTGGAGAACCACTGCTCTAAGCAGGTTGGATGCTAGCAATGGGAACCCGTTTAATAATTTTAAGCAAAGGAAGCAACAAGATCAGATCTGTTTTTTGAATAAATAGCAAGCAGTGTGAAAGGAGACTATGGAGGGGCAAACAGAGAGGCAAAATGATCAGTAAGACCACAAAGTTCAGGTTTGAAAATGGTGAACAGTGAACCAAGGCAAAGGCAACAGAGTCACAGAGGAGGGTACAAATGTGAGACCCAAGGGCAGAGTTAGAACTGTAGGCCCAATGATATAGAATTTGAGGGTAAGGGAGAAGTGTGACAGAATAACTTGCAGGTTTCTGGCTTGGCAATTCAGGTAGCTATGGTGCAGGTCATTATCTTGGATATAAAATTTAAAATAAAGGGTACTTTAAAAATCAGCTAAACATAATAAAAGCTTACAGTAAGAATGGGCTGTCCAGGGAATGAAATCTAAAAGAGTCAGTGCTCAGCTACTAACACACAGTACACATTACAAATATTACAAAATATTAACTCGCTTAGTCCTCATCATCGTCCTTTGAGATGTTTTCATCTTATAGATGGGGAAACTGCTACATAGGAAGTTGAAGAACTTCTCCAAGATTCCATAGCCAGTCAGTTTTGGAGCTGGGATCCCAACCTTGACATGTAGCTCTAGCATGTAACTCTCTATCCCTGGCCCTTCTTTCCAGCTCTTGCCCTAGTAATTAGCTGCTGAGTCAGAAACTGACAGTGACCCACTTGACAGCTGGCTCATTCATTACCCACTACACTTCACTACCTGTTGGTACATTTAAAGAGAAAGAAAAATAAAGGTCTAGATGAAAAATACAGATTTGGGTGGTTTCCAGTATACAAATGGACAGCTGGTGAAATTATAGAAAAGAAAATGTGTAAAGTCAGAAGAAAAAAAAAAAAGGTAGAATGAGCTACTAAAGAAAACTACCTGCTAAGCAAAGGTGGAGAAGCCAGAAGCAGCAGCCAGTGAGAGGGATGTGAGAGGCAGAAAAGGAAAGTTCTAAGGCAGGACATTTGTACCCCAGACAATCCTTTGCATATAATCTACTCTCCTCCATAAATGTCTTTAAAGTGAATCATTAACTTCAAACAAGGAACCTGTCAAAAATCCATATTATATGGCACATTCAAAATAATTTTATAAATTTGAGCAGAACTCAAATCATATCAGCTTGCAACTTTTCTAGACATTGAGAGTTTGTGAAAGGTACACTGTCTAATTAAAAATGAATAGCCAAGGCATCGTAAGAAATCATTCTTTACATTTATATACAGCTAAGAAGATTTTTAAAAGTTTCATTCAAATCCTTTCATAGCAACAAAACGTGTTACTGTTATCCATTTTGTTGAGTATCACATGAAATACTGGCTCTTTGAAGTTTTGAAACTGACAGATATAAAACTATATTCTAAAAGAGGATTTAGAAAAAGTATACATGAGAATTCGTCACTTCTCACTCAAAAGAGTTACCTGACCATTAGTAAATCTAGAGGTGCATTTCTCTGTAACTCTCTGTTATCTAAGAAGTTTTGTTCACGCATTTCTTATCAAACTTTGCAATTCTAACCCTAAACACAAAAATATAGTAGGAAATAAGTTCCCTCAAGATACAAAAAGATGGACTCACTTCCAATTCAAGACAAGTATTTCCTTGGGTAATAAATCTTGATTTTCAGGCCAAAAATTTAATGTGCATACAAATCATTCAAAAGGATCAAGCTAAAAAGAATATTCTAACTAAGTAGGTCCAAAGCAATGCCCATACTCTGCCATTTCTAACAAGCTTCCTCCTGAATGACATGGATTCTCTGGTCCACAATAGTTACTCAAATGTGATCCTTGGACAAAAAGCACTAGCAGCACCTGGGAACTTGTGAGGATTGAACTTCTCCCAGACACCAAACAGAACATAAGAATATCACCTACTGAAATGGCTGACCCTAGAAATCCAAGTTTTTTTCCTTAAAATCCATCTACAACTCATTCACTTACTTTTTATATTTTGTTGTTATTAAAGATTACTTTTCTACAGTAGAGGGGGTAGAGAGAGAAGAGGGGAGGGGAGGAGAGGGGAGGGGGGATAGTAGAGGATAGGAAAGGCAGCAGAATACAACAGACACTAGTATGGCAATATGTAAATCAATGGATGTGTAACTGATGTGATTCTGTAATCTGTATACGGGGTAATAATGGGAGTTCATAACCCACTTGAATCAAAGTGTGAAATATGATATGTCAAGAACTATGTAATGTTTTGAACAACCAACAATTAAAAAAAAAAAGATTACTTTTCCATTATCTAAAGCTTAGAGTCTCCAGTTCTCTCTGTCTCCTCACCTATAATCCCGTAAGAGTCTACAATATGCCAATCAGATGGGACTGGTGATTTTTTACTATAAATCATCCTCCCTCTCGAGAGGCTTTGTTATGGTGGTTATAGTTGATACTTCCCCTCATCTGGCCAGCCTCTCTAGTCACTGCGCCTAATTTCTCAATGAAATATGTTCTCACCATTCTCTGAACCAACAACTTATTCCACTATAGGAATTTTTATTTCATTAGAATGTTTACCACATTCTGCTGAATATAAGACATATTTATATGTACGAGGCTAGGGTATTTTGACCTATTGCTGCTGCTGAACCATAAATTATTTGAGGGCAGGAATCTTTATTGCTAATTCTGATATTCCTTGTATTGCTTAACATAGTTCCTTACTCATATAAAACTCAATAAAAATCCAAGAAAATAAAATAAAGCACTATTATTGATGAAAACTTAATATAAACACTCATTCATCACAAATTTAAATTATGTTTTTTACTTCTTCAACCATGATTGATTTATTTTTTTTTTGGCATCACAAACATGAAAATTAGGCACAGGGCCTTTATTTTCATTTTTCCCAACTCTAGAAAATTTTAATTTTTAATAACCTTACTTAATACATTTTATCAGAACTTAAATTCTGAGCCAATTCCTTTGGCATTTTCATATTGAACAGAGTTGATCAGTTGAGAAAAATGAGTCTTATGATGAAATCTTTTTTTTTTTTTTTAGAGAGAGAGAATTTTTTTTTAATATTATCTTTCAGCTTTCGCCAGACACAACATCTTTATTGTATGTGGTGCTGAGAATCGAACCCAGGCCGCACATATACCAGGCGAGTGCACTACCGATTGAGCCACATCCCCAGCCCTTATGATGAAATCTTCATAAAACCATCATAAACCTCTGCATCTATGAATAGAAAAAGACTAAAAAACAGCACAGAAATCATTAAATCTGTCATGTTGAAATAAAGTACAGTGGAAAAGATTAACTTTTGGAAACTAAAGTCTCTTCAGGATGCCTAACAATGTGAAAAGTATAAGGAGACTGTCAGGTCTACTTTAAATCATAAAGTTTAGGTTAGTCCAAAGTTAGCCAACTAAAAAAAATCTCTCAAGCACAATCCCTTCAAATACAGTAGAATGTATAAAGACCAGACATAATTTAAATAATGAGTTAATACAAAATATCCTCTATTATTCTGAAGATAAATAAAGAACAGAAGTCAATTTCAAGTTACTATTAAAAATGAGCACAGGTCAATAAGCATATAACAAATGGGCCGAATATGAGATCAGAGCTTAAAAGTGATATGGAGTTGGGTTCAGCACCAATGGCTAGAAACAAAAACTAATGTTCTTCCCTAAAAGAATTAAAGAAAACAATGACTTTGCTGAAATGTAACAAGTGTTCTATTTGAGAGCTGCTAACATTGAGCATCCTACTAGAATACAAAAAGTAACCGCATGCTGAAAATCCCTGAAAGTGATATCTATTCATGATTAGTTAATTAGCTCTCTATACTTTAAAGATCATGTCACTGGCAGAGGGTGGGAAAGGAGTTTCTGGTGATGACAGTGGTGGCAGACAGTACAATGCCCGGCCCCCACCCCCACCCCCAAGTGCCCCAAATGTCACACCCTAATCCCCAAAACTTATAAATATGTTACCTAACATGGCAAAAGGGACTTTGCAGCTGTGATTCTGTTATAGATCTTGAGAAAAAGGAGATCACCTGGATTATTTGGGTAGGGCGGAAACAATCACAAAGGGTACTCTAAGTGGCAGAGGAAACAACAGAGGAGGGCAGAGTGATGAGAAATGAGAAGTACTCAGTAACCTGCTGTTGCTGGCTTTGAAAATGGTGGAAGGGATCATAATCCCAGGAATGAGGAAGCCTCCAACAGCTAGAAGAGATCAAGAAAAAGATTCTCTCCTGGAGCCTTAAGAAAGGAAAGCAGCCCTATTGACCTTTGATTTTAGCCTAGTGAGACCTATGTTAGACTTCTAATCTATAGAATTGTAAGATAACAAATGTATGCTGCTTGAAGCCCATTAATTTGAGGCAATTTCCTATGGCTACAAGAAATGAACACAATGGTAAATTGCTATAAAAAGAATTCTCAGGGCTGGACATATAGGTTAGTGGTAGAATATTTGCCCAGCATGAGCAAGACCCTGATTCAAACCCCAGCACCAAGAAAAAGAATTTCCTCAAAACAAATACAGAAAACACCTTTAAAGTGTAACATGATGTTCTGTGAAATACTCAGCAAATATGTTGATTTTGTTTGCATTACTCAGAAAAGCACCTGCTCCCCTGTAAAAAGATATCACACAATACCTACCACTAGAAAAAAAAATTAAAAGTAAATAAAATGAACTTTGATCAAAAAGTAGATGAGAAAATAGAAAGATATTTTCAACCAAAGAAGAGGGTGATGAAAATTAAGTTGGAAATTTTGGTATTTCTTACATTTAAAAAGAGACCAACATTGTATCCTACTCATAGGTCAGCCAGAAGGCAGACACCACTATTTCTTTTAAAGCTTATATTTACCTGATGATCCTCTGTGCAGCATACTGATGGAGGGAGCGAAACTGTGCTGACATATTTGCTAGCGCTGCCAAACAATTTGTGTGAAGGTACTTGTCCTGTTAGAATACAGCAAGTTTAAAGCACATGTCACATCTTAAGCAAGATTAACTGGGAGCAAGTGTAAATTCAGTTATTACTTATTTTAGAAAGTTCAGGTGCATAATTCCTTTTCTCCAGTTCCCAAATCCATAAAGTTCAGAGAAGTCAATGTTTTTTCACAACCCATCTAGAAGCAACTAACACAAAATATTATGCCACCTGATGGTATCCATCATTCCCAGCATGGTGAACACTCAAATAGTTTGCTGTGGAAATATTAATGTTAAATATAGTGTGCTGCTTCAGACCCTAATGATCACACGTAATATAATACATACACTATAATTACCTTCCTAAAATACAATGAATTCTCTATACAAAACACATCTGGCTCCTAGGGTCTCAGATAATAAATATAAACATAGATCTACATTAGCCCTATAGAGAGAAATAAGCAAAAATATTTAAGCTAACTGAACCATTTAGCTATGACTTCTATACATTACTTTCTTTGATAATACATTGCTATAGACTAGAACTGAAATTCACTCGTCAGTAGTACATACAGAATCCAGTAAAATTTTTTCTTTTACTCTTTCAAGTATTCTTTCTCTTCTACATTTCTTTCCCATCTGAATTCATATTTTCTCCATCTGAGTTAATATTTTCTCCTGTTTACACCTTTTATACTTTGTTGTTGATGCTTTGAAAAAGGCAAATCATGTTATAGTTCAGCAAAGATACATAACTTTGATCTAAATGTGTGGCACTGCTTGTTTTCTATTTCATATAAAATATCTCTGCTAGTGTAGCCATTAAATATTAAGAAACAGACATTATCCGACAATCATGCAATGGAGTGACTATATGCTGATGTGTATTTTCCCACTGAATTTCATGAGAATTTTAGTGCCTCCAAAATTAAGATTATTTTAAATTGTAGTCTTACTTATACTATATGCATAAAAATTAAAGGAAAAAAAGCTGAGGAATACTTACTCTTGTCCTTGTCATATTGTACTGAATGGTTCTTATTACAACCAGAATCAGGAGACTCCCCAGTGAAATTTCAGTTAAAACCCGTTCTGAATACCAAGTAATATTTTTTAATATCTGTAACAGAGAAGAAAGGTTTAAGTAAAAAATAATGCTTTAAGGAAAAAGGTACTGCTCCATGTCTACAGTTTTTGATAAGCTACAGCTTCACTCAGAAAGGTTAAAACAGTAAATAAAAGTGAATTATGAGATTTTTTTCAGTTCTAGCAAGTAAACGGAGCTAATGTGCTTGCTTCTTCCTTCTTAAAATAGAAGAGACAAAATAAATAAATAAATAAGCCCAACCCAGTCTGAAAAACAGAGGAAGAGATCATTAATAGACAAAAAGGAGATATATCTGAAAAAGATATGGCATATAAGATAAAAGTGACAGAAAAAAGTGATTTGAAAATAAGAAAAGAAGCTCTACTTTTGAAAAGTAGAGCTTTCCCAACAGAGTTCAGAAAACCTCTCCAGGTATGTTTAGGAGAGAGGCCAGGAGCACAGCGAACTTGACCTTCAGGAAGGATGTGCAGCCATCAGCTGTGGCTGTGTGAAGCAGGCAGCTCTGGAGAGCAACTCCAGGCCTCAGGGAGAAAGAACTGTTCCTAAATTAAGCTGAGGTGTTTCCACAGTAGATCTGTACCATGGGTGTCAAGGAAGAAAGGAATTACACACACAAAAACTGGGCATGAGAGGATTCCCCCAGCAAATTGTATGCAGAAGCATACCTGCACTGTAACTCTTGACGGGGGTCAAAGTAACTGAAACTTACCACTTCGTGAATGGACCTATTGAAGCCATCATCTTCTGTAAGGATCAATAATATTATAAGGGCCATATATACATGGTGTGAATTTCTTTCTTCAACATGATACAGAATCTCAAGAATTGGTAAAACCTAGGGAATAAAAACCATAATGTAACATTCCAATACCTTACTCAACTGTTTTAAACCCTTTACACTTTTGTACTTTTTACTTTAATATCATAGTTTTATTTGAATTTAAAGGAAAAAAAAACCATGCAAACCCACTCCTGACTACATGCACTTCCCATAAGCATAGCTAAGAAACCAAGAAAGGAAATCATCACTAACTCTAGGAAGGTCTGTGAAAGTCTATCCAACCTAGAGACTGAATTTTCAGAGAACATTTAGGGTCAGGGGCTGAAATGTTTAAGAAATCACATCACCTTGCCCCTAGCCAAGAAAGGGGAGAAAAGCCAGATGCCCAGAAATTCAAGAATGTTTTCATGCATATGCTAAGTGAAACTAAACATATACATGTACTACAGTATGTATTTCAATGTTAATAAATTAAACAGACTACTATAGCCCAAGGTACATTTTTGTCATGTATATTGAGGTTTTACTCTTCAGAGTATTTGTCCAGCATTTCATTTTATAATCCTGTTTCCATACAGACAAATTTAGTCTATTTCAAATCATTACTCTGACACCTTCAATTTGTTCATTCTCTACTAATTAAGTAGATTACTAAACGTATTTATTAAATATGAGCTAATTAGCTGCAAATTACTCCTTATATGAAACTACCATGAATACTCTCCAGTGGATGCAAGAAAACAAGCAAAAACTCTTATATTGTAAATCAGACAATAACCTGTAATGAGTTCACTGTACAAAGTTCCCACAGTGGTATGCAAAGCCATAAAAATAGATACATTTGGGAAGGTACACCTATGGTAGTTGTATATTACTCTTTTACAAGTTACAGCTGAAACTTTCTCTTATTTCTCTAAATTGTAAAGTGCAGATGCATGAACATCACTAAATTCAAGAACTAAATGCACCACAATAGTCATTGCTCTTTTTACTTTGTACATCCCAGGCATCTTTCTCTTTAGATCCTTCTGATGTCAAATATGATATATTGTACTCACATTTCACATTACCTAGTTAGCACAGTTAAATTCTGTATAGTCATTTAATTCAGCATTTGTTATTTCTGATTCTGCAGTTTTCAATAGATTTTTTTTGTGCCATGTCATTCTTATTCTGGCTAAGCCTTAAGAAACACATTCATCACTACAGTATGAATGTACTACAGGTATTACATACTGTACTACCTAAAACACTCTTAAAACCCTGTACTTTACTGAACAAGACAGACAAGTAAATGGTATATTCAAACATATGAGCAATAATGCAGGAATATGTAATGGGTCCAAAATGAGTATGTTGGAATAGCGCTTGAATTTTTTCTTTTAAACATTTTTTATTGAGCTATAACTTACATATCATACAATCAATCCATCCATTTAAAGGGCAAAAGTCAATGATTTTTAGGATATTCATAAAAATGAGTAACCATCACAATTTTAGAACATTTTTATCTCAAAAAGAAATCCCAGGCTCTTTAGCTATCACCCCAACCATCCCTCTTTTCCTACCCTGCCCAACACTCAAAGAAACTACTTTCAATCTCCATAAATTTTCCTGTTCTGGGGTTTCTTTTTTTTAATTAATTTTTAAATTTACATATGACAGCAGAATGTATTACAATTCTTATTACACATGTAGAGAACAATTTTTCATATCTCTGGTTGTATACAAAGCATATTCACACCAATTTGTGTCTTTATACATATACTTTGGTTAATAATGTCCATCATATTCCAACATCATCTCTAACCCTATACACCCCCCCTTCCTCTCCCACCCCTCTGCACTATCTAGAGTTCATCTATTCCTCCCATGCTCCCCCTCCCTACCCCACCATGAATCAGCCTCCTTATATCAGAAAAAACATTCGGCATTTGGTTTTTGAGATTGGCTAACTTCTCTTAGCATTATCTTCTTTCTGGGGTTTCTAATGAAGGGAATCTCATAAGATGTAGACTTTGGTGACTGCCTCCCTTCACTGAGCATGTTCCCACATAGTAGCATCCATCAGGATCTCATTCCTTTTTATGTCAAATATTATTCTACTGTACACACTTAATTTGTTGATGAACTTCTTGATTGTTTCTACTTTAGGACTATATTTCTACTCTACTTTAGGAATGCTGCTGCTATGAACATTTATTGAAAAGGTTTTTCTATAGACAGGTTTTCATTTATTTTGAATATGTACTACCATTTACAGTGAATTGTTGGGTGATATGATAACTGTTTCAAGATCTGTCAGACTTCTCCATAGCAGCTGCATGATTCCATATACTAACAATGTATAAAAGAGCACATATCTACCCATCCTTGCCAACACTTAATATTATTTAACATTTTTTTACTGTAGCCTTCAAGTGGGTAAAGTGGTATCTCATTGTAATTTTCATTTCCATTTACCTGATCACTAGTGATGTCAAGTACTGTTTTTATGTGCTGATTCTTAGCCATTTGTATGTCTTCCTTGTAGAATGTTTATGCAAATCTTTTAAATTGGGCTGTTTTTATTATTGAGTTATCAAGTTCTTTATATATTCAGACCCATGATTTGCATTCATTAATCTTGTTCTCACATCTGTGGACTCTTTTCACTTTCTTGATGGTATACTTTGAAGCACACAAATTTTTATATTGATGAAGTCCAGTTTATCTGTTTTTTCCTTTTGCTTTTCATGCGTTTGTTGTTATACCTAAGAATCATTTGCCAAATCCAAAGTCATAAAGTCTAACTCCCATGCTTTTGATGCGTTTTGAGTGAATATGGACATAGTTTGAAGGCTCAACTCCATTCTCTCACAAGAGGCTCTCCAGCTGTCTCAACACCACTGGTTCAAAAAAGACTATTATCCCTTCCACACTAGTCTTGATTCCGACTAAAAATAAGCAGACCATCCAAATAAGGATTTATTTCTGAACTTTCAAATCACTTCCATTCATCTATTATGTCTATCCTGTGGCAGTAAAGTCCTGATTACTGGTACTTTGTACATTTTGAAACAATAAGGAAGTGTGAATGCTCCACCTTCATTCTTTTTTAGAAATGTTTAGGCTGTTCCAGGTTCACTGTAATTCCATATAAATTTCAGAATTGCCTTATGAATTTCCATAAATAAGTTGGCTGAGTTTCTAGAAGGTATTGTGTTGAATCCGTAAGTCAGTTTAGGGACAACTGCCATCTTCACAAAGTATTATGATCCATAAATATGGGATTTTTCCCATTTCTTTCAATAATATTTTCATAGTATAAATTTTGTACTTCCTTGGTTAAATTTATTCCTAAGTATTTTACTCTTTTTGATGCGACTGTGAATAGAACTATATTCTTAATTTGATTTTTGGATTCTCCATTGTTAAGGAATAAAATTACAGTGGTTTCTACATATTGATTTCGTATCCTAATCCTATATCTTACAACCTTGCCAAACCCTTCTAATAGTTTTAACAGTTTTTTTTCCTGAGGATATATTAAGTCACTCTATACATAAGATACTGACACCTGCAAATACAAATGTTTTACTCCGTACTTTCCCATTTAGATGACTTTAAGCCAGGCACGGTGGCACACACCTGTAATCCTAGTGACTCATGAGGCTGAGGCAGGAGTATCACAAGTTTAAAGGCAGCCTCAGCAACTTAGCAAGACCCTGTCCCAAAATAAAAAATAAAAATGGGCTGGGGATGTGGCTCAGAGGTTGAGCAACCCTGAGTAAAATCCCAGGTACCAAAAAAAAAAAAAAAAAGGCAAAAGTAGGCATCTTTATCTTTGATCACAGGACCAAAGTATTCTTTCATCATTTAGTATAGTGTTAACTCTGGGGCTTAGTGACGCCCTTTATCAGATTGAGTAAGTTCCCTTCCTGGTTTGTTTTTTATCATAAAAGAGTTTTTATCATGAAAGGGTAATAATTTTGACAAATGCTTTTTTCTGCATTTATTTAAATGATCATATGATTTTTAATTTTTACTCTGTTGACATGACATTAACTGATTTTCACATGTTGAACAAAGCTTATATTCCTGGGATAAATCCCATTGGATATGATATATAATTACTTTTAGAACAGTACTTTAAATCTGAAAGAATTATTGAAACTGAGATCTGAAGAGTTATGGGAGTTGAGCAAAAGGGCAAACAGACTTCTGTAGGAAGAAGTATTCAAGAGAGAAAACCATGTCTACACTTAGGAAATAGATCACATTGAGAGAAATTCAATTAATTGAGTATAAATAGAAAAGAACACAAGAACAATAATCTAGAAAAGAAAAACCCAAAAAAGGGATCTGTGACAAAATTAATGTAGTCTTTTGGCTACATTAAAGAATCAGAGTTTTAACTGAGGAAACTATGAAGACATGAATCATAAGATTTTTCAGCTAGGAAGGGACACGATCATATCTGACATTAGTAAATTCACTTTGACTAACAGGTTGAGAATGTTAAAGACTGGCAAGACAGAAAGCAGGAAAGCCAGTTAAAGATATTGAAGTAATTGAAGAGATAAGCAGCTTAAACCACAGGAGTTGCAATGAAGAAAAAAAATTAATAGATTCCAATAGTATTAAGGTTGGGAAATCAAAAGGACTTCTTTGAATGTGGAGGGAAAAAAACAGAAGGGTCAAAGCATCTATCTTTCACGAACTATATGGATGGCTCATCAATGTGATAAAGAACACAGGAGTAAGAGAAGGAAGAACAGGTCCTGGGAAGATAATGAGCGCAACTTTCACATGTTTGGGACAAGGTATCTATGATGAAGCCACTAGGGAATGTCTGGGGCAAGTGGGAACACAGATTTAAGACATAGGCAATGAGGAATGTAAATACAGAACTCAAAAGCTGTGCACATACAGGGACTGGGGCTGTAGCTCAGCGGTAGAGCCCTTGCTTAGCATGTGTGAAGCTTGGGTTTGATCATCAGCACACATAAATATAAACAAATAAAATAAAGGTATAAAAAATACAATAACATCATTAAAAAACACGTATAAAT